CATGACTGGGGGTTTGCGGCTGCGCCCGCGGCCCGCGGCCGCTAGTGTTACATAGGGTAGGGTGCATCGGCTGGTTTGCAAAAGCACCATCATGGTGGGAGTTTCTGCCTTTTGGTAATGCAGAGTGTGAGCAAAGGTGCGATCCGCTCTGAATCGGAAGGACGGTGGGCTTATCAGGGTCTTTGCCTGCAGTTGGGGGCCTGTGGGTACGAACCCCAGCCGTGCAGGTGGCAGAGCGGTTTGGCAGGGGGGAACAAGCACCGGATGATTGCCTGTTCGGTTTCCTTGTGTAGTACTTTGTTGGACTTTCGTAGGCTTTTGATTCCAGTCGGTTTTTGGCCAGAAACTCTGTAACAGTTTTGATGTGAGGGACGCAGGACCCGGTGTGTATAATGAAATGGCGACCGGGGTATGAACCTGGACAGAGTGCCCTGTCCTGGTCTTCTTGCCAATGGCCGGAAACTCTGTTTTGATGTGAGGGACACCGGACCGTTTTCCGCTGTGTATGTATAATGAAATGGCAACCTCAGTATGAACCTGGGCGGAGTAGCCGGATCATACCGGAAAAGTTGGTTGTTTTCTTGTTCTGGACAACAGACTTTTTCTCCAAATGTTTTGGTGTTTTTCTTTGTGTTTTTTTGGGCGCACTATTTTGGGTACGTACACCCGGAATATGTATGCGTACGCCTTGCGTACGCGTACGGGGGTACTACCCAGACCAACCTGGATCCACCTCAGTGCTAGGCATGCAAATAATTCCACTGGCAGTTCTCCGGGTATAGGTGCACGTTGGCACTGGGACTGGGTATAGCCAGTAACCCATCATCTGTTTTATAGCCAGTATCCCATCTTTCAGTGCGGTACAGATGTGGTAGCAAAATGCCCTTTCCAGCAAATTTCCCCCCCAAAAAATTGCTACCACCTCCAGAGGTGGTAGCAAGAAGCCCTTGCCTGCGGCCCGCCAGGCCTCTGACATTTGATACCCCTTTTGCTGTTTGTTGCTTTTGCCGCTGTCCCTACCTCGGGCGATTGGCCCAACCATCAAAGTTTAGCTATTTTGCCATAAAAGGCCCTAGTGTGAGTAGACCCTGACTGTTCAAAGACAAATTCTTGGAAACAATTACGTCTCTGTCATGGTTTCAGTTCCGCATAGGGAAAAAAAAAACAGAAAACGCAGTTTTGTCGCAGAGGCAGTCTGGAATGGGCAAAAAAGGCAAAGAGGGCCTCTTTTCTTTTGTGGTCAGTTTTCCAAGTGGTTTTTTTTTTTTTGTTTTTTTTTTTTTTTGGACCATTTCTTTATGCGTGTCATCCTTGCGCAGGGGCCATGCTAATCTTCTCTGTATCGTTCCAATTTTAACAGATGTCCCGAAGGAACGTTTTCCAAGTTTTGGACCTAGATCGTGGTGAGCAGTTGCTAGTCAGAGGAAAGTGATAAAAAAGAGAAGAAAGTAAGGTGGCCACTACTCCGGTCTTCACCCGAATAGAACTCCCAGTCATTATCACTGTATCTAGACTTCATTTCCACTAAATACAGCTATAATGACCGGGCTTTCTATTCGGATGAAGACGGTAGCCAGAACTAACTAAATTGGCATCTGAATCCCACTGAGAGTGACCGACAGATTTGAGGCCAGATGCAGTTTCATGGTTTGAACCTGGATCGAACTGGATGGTCTGAACACGGACCTGGATGGTTTGAACCTGGATCGAACTGGATGGTCTGAACACGGACATGGATGGTTTGCACTTGGATCTCAATGGACGGTCTGGACCGGAGCTTGGTGGGTTGGACCTGGTTGTCACTGGACGGTCTGAATCCGATGTCACTCGCTAACAGGGATTTAGCTAAAACAGACATTTAATATTTTTTGATTGGGGCAAGTACGTTGAAGTCACAGGTGCACTTCCGAATGGGCAAAAACATCACTCCGTAGGCAGGTTTGTCAAGTCGGAGTGAGTAAAGGAAAGAAAAACAGCTGAAAGGCAACATCCTCGTCGTCCAAGTTCAAATCGGCAAAAAAAATATAACTTTTTTCTTTTTCGTTTTTTTTTCCGGTTTTTTTTTTTTTTTTTTTTTTTTTTCCCCGTTGTATGCTCGCGCCGCGCGGCGCCGCGGCTAGAACGAAAAAAAAAATTTGGGGTGTGGCCGAGACATCTCGGACGTGGCCAATCTGGGGTGTCGCCGAGACATCTCGGCCGTGGCGCAACCATGTTTTTCTTTTTTTTTTTTAATCCGTTCCAGCCGCGGCGTGGCACGGCGCGACCATACGACGGGGGAAAA